GCCCAGGGGCGCCGCACTGCCTCCCGGCACAGAAGCAGGGTGCTGATTCATCAAGGCACCTGGCACACCTGAGGGCCTACTAGGTGCTGGGTGCTGCAGTGCAGACTTTACACACACAAGTTCCCCTAACCCTCCCCCAAATCTACCCTGATCACTCCGATGTGACAGAGGCAGACATGAGGCTCAGGGAGGGCAAGCTGTTCGCCCCAGTGCCCGCCGCTGGGATGTGGTCAAGCTGAGGTTAAGACCTGGCATCTCTCTATCTCCCCAGGCCTGGGGACCCTGGGTCCATGGACTCCAACCCAGGTAAGAGAGGGGAGGAAGACAAGAAGCCAAGGGGCTCAGTCTGGGCCTCCAAAGAAAAATGGTGGGGACCCGGAGCTCCCAATCCTGCAAAGTTAACCCCTGAGCACCTGTCCCAGCAACCCCTGGCACCCCAGTAGTAGAGGGAGGGGACAGCCAGAGCTCTTCATTCATCTGCCATGACCCCAGCCCAGACCAGGCTGCCCGGTCCAGCCTCCCCTCCCGGCCTGTGAGGGAGGCGCTTGCGATGGGAGGGAAAACGTGCTGTTTGACCAATGTCGTCCTGTCACACGTGTCTGAGGCAGGTACTCTGATCAACACTTTATAAATGAAGAAACCGAGGTGCAGGGTGGCAGTCCAGCTCACTAAAGACCTTGGGAGGTAGCAGAGCCCACACCTAATCTGAGGAGAAGTCAGAAGAGAGAGGGGCCAAGGGAGAGCCTGAGGGGCAGAGAAGCACCTGAAACTGTCAGGAAGAGGCAGGCTGAGGCCGGTTACACGCAGGGAGCAGGTGGAGGAGGGAAGGAGGGTCGGAGACACAGCAGGGTATGAGCCTGCTGAAACCAGGAAAGGGAGAGGTGTGGGCAGGGAGACAGGGCAGGCTACGGAACAGACAGGAGGCCATGCAGAAAAGCATCGACTCTGTTCTCCTGCCTGGATTCTTGGCAAACCAGGAAGTCCTGGGCCATGCAGAGGGAAGACATACGGGATCACCTGTCAGAGATGGAGGTCTGCTAAGCCCTCCACACTCTGCCCTACCCAGTAGACCACCAATGAGAACTCTGAGATGCCAGCCCTGCTCAGGGCACTGACACCCAGAAGGAAGGCTTGTTAGGCATCTGCTCTGAGGACCCACAGGGTCACCGCTGTGGTGAACGCACCGCTGGCTGAACTCACACTGTGGGACTAAGTGGTGACGCTCTGCCTGGGGACCAGATGTCCCCCAAATCCTGCTCATACTTCACAGAAGCCTTGGGGACCAGAGGCTGTTCGCTAAAAGCACAATTCCCAGAGGCCCCTCTCATGCATCCAGAAGGATGAGCGGGCTTCTCAAGCGGGTCCACGAAGTAGGTAGAGGGCTGGAGTGTGGGGGAGGCAGGAATGAAGGGTGCCTCATGATGGGGGATTCTGAGGTTCTTTTTTCTCAGCCCCTCATCTGTGTTAGACTTCTCGTCAGAGGCTCTTCCCTCATCTTCTTACTGAGCTACCCACTCCTCATCCTGCAGCTCCTCAGAGGTCTTCTCGGAGCTCCCTGACCAAGTGAGACCCCCCACACACACACTGTGGGCTCCCCAAGCATCCACCTACTCTTCCATTTCCCTCAGCACAAATAGAAGTTTGTTGGATGACTAGCTGATGATTGTCATTTCTCCATGAGGGCGGAGACAGTGTATTTTTTTCCTCACCACTGCACCTCAGCATCTAGCCCAGTGTATCCATAGAATTTTCTTGAATGAGTTCATTCTTTTCATTCCTTCACAGAGTGCCAATCCCTTTTCTCAGAGGAGGTAAATGGCTCAGCTGCAACCCTTCCGATCCTCACCGCAGCCTCGGACACGTTGTTGCTCTTCCCACTTTACAAGGGAAGAAATGAGTTTCAGAGAGGTGAAGTCACTAACCCAAACACACAGCAAGTAAGTGGCTTTGAATTCAGGATCGGAACCTAGATAAGTCTGGCTCCAGAGCCTGACCTCTGCCACCACACACTACCCTGCTTTCCCACCCTAAGGGTTTCTCTGGATCTTCCCTTGGAATCCTGCCCCTGCCCCCCAACTGCCCAAGCTCAGGACTGACAAGCAGAATTCATTCTTTCAACCATACATTCGTTCAACCAGTCAAGTGACTCACTTACCAAGCTTGGCATGGGGCTGTGCCAAGCCCTGCATGGGGTGCCAGGAAACCAGACAGATCAGGGGCTTCCCTCCATCCTGGGCTGCCCTCCTTCCACTGCTCTTGGGACTTTGCCAGCAAAAACAGAGCACCAGGCAGCAGCCCTACCCTTAGCCTCACTGTCAGGGGACAAGAGTTAAGTGCCAGCCCCATCATTAGTCCTCCCCCCAGGACAGCAGCCTAAAATACTTAGGCCAAATAATGTGTAGCTTCACAATCCTTTTGTCTCCATTTTTCTCAGATGACCTGAGACACAAGGAAGCACAGAATTCTGCTCCCTCCTTCCATGCAATTCTTTGACTCTCCCCTACCCCAGGCAGCTCTTGAAAAAGTTCTAGACTTGAAGTCCTAAAAACAGAGTTTTAGCTCCAGGTCTGGAGATAGCTGTGGGACCTCTGGAAAACAAGTCATCCTGCCTCTCTCTGAACCACAGATTCCATAGCTGCAAAATGGAGGTGATCATATTGAGGATGCTAATGCTTATCCCACCGGTTTATAGGTGAGGATTAAATCATTCAGACCCAGAGAGACAGTTATCACGTACATGATTGGCTCGGGAAACGTCTTAGCAACATGGGGACCTATGGGGGCTAGCTCTGCTGCTTACAAGATGCATTTAACAATGGAATTTGGGGAAGGTTGGCTGGAAGCAGCCCTAGCAAACTGAGCCCAGAGCATTCCCCAAGTGGACTGTCAGAAGTGAGGGGCCTTTCCCTGGCTCACTGGGAGTGGGGGAGCTGTGCTCATCAGCCCAAAAGCCAGAGTCCCGGGAGAAGAGCTGGGAACGGGACAGAACACACTGACACAGCTCTCCCCATTCTTTAGCACCTAGAGCTCCCCAGAGAGGGTACATGCGCAGAACCTGGAACTCGGACTCTTAGCTATCCTCAGGCCCACCTTAGGACAAGTGCCTCTTTCACCCTCCCTTCTTTAAAAGGCACTAGATTCTAAGGGATCTGGAAAATTCCTTCTCGTCATAACACAGACACCTTCCACTTACTGGGTCCAGGCACCAGGCCAGCTGCATTTTATATGTTTGTTCCCTGACACTTCACAAAACCCCTGTTGAAGAAGGTTCGATCGTTACCCCATTCTATAGATGAACAAACTGAGTCTCAAAAGAGTAAGTTATGCACCCAAGTCACTGGAATTCATACTCAGGTTGGCCCCACTCTAAAGCCTGTACTACCTCCAAAGACAAAGTAGGGAGAATCAGTGACAAAACACACTGCAAAAATTCATCCTGCCTGTGCTTAGGGGAATCTTCCCACCATAGCTGGTAATGAGCCACTGAAAGCACAGGAAATCCTGTGTCCTCCATTCATCCTAAGGGGGCAACGATACAAATGCTCCCTCAATACCCACACACTCATTCAGGGCTTCAGGGCAAAACACTCTCTCCTGCAGAGACCCCAGACTCTGGAGTTCAGACTCCCACCTGAGGAGACTGGGTCTCTATTCTTCAGACAGGGAGACAGACAGATGAGGCGGATGGTGGGACAGGGGCCTGGGGTGCCCACTGTGATGGGCATCAGTGACTGAGCTGAGACCACAGTTTCATATCTAAGTCCAACCTTGGAGTCCACCGTCTGCCCTCCGCCCTGCTGGGTGGCACCACAGCCCAGAGAGGGGTTTAGGGCTCTGCCCTCAGTCAACCTGCAAGGATGACCCATTTCCAAGTGTCAGTAAACACAAGGGCATCTTTGTTGTTATAAGGCTAGGAGTTTCCTTTCGATCTTTTTTGCCCATGTCTGAGCTGGCAGAACTGGGTCAGGAGGCTGCTTCCGGGCAAGCCGATGATGTTTTAGATTGTCTGAGAAAGTCCCGGCACTCTACATCGATATCGGAGAAGAGAATTTCGCTTCCTGAGGTGAAAAGCACAAACCCCACTCCCGTCCAGACAAACCAGTGCTGCCTCCAGCAGAAAGAAAAACCTGTCAGGGAAGAGGAGAGAGTGAGACGGGGCATCTGTGAGGGGGTAAGACTTGGCTGAATCACACCCAGAGCTCCAGGCCAGATGGCCACTGAGGACGGAAGCAGGGGAGGGACTGGCTGGCCCATAGCCCTTGCCCACCGTATGCAGGAGGGACGGGCTCCTCCTCCGCGAATGCGCACACAGGTGCACAAACAGAAGGTTCCAAAGCCATTCCGGTGCTCTCCTCCCCCAAGGGTTTCAGGGACTTGACAAAAAACAACACGGTCACCTAGTCACAGTCTCATACAGAGAGGATCACCAACTGATGGCGTGGGATAAGCACACACCAACATAGGAACCCTAAGAGCCATAAGAACCCAAATGGGACTTGGTCAATGTGTCCACAGAGTCGTGCGGACGCGCCAGCCTTCTCCCATCCCCACACCTGCACGGACAGCTGGCTCCCCTGAGGCCCCCCTCCCAGGAGGCTTGTAGAGGTCCAAACCCTCAATTCCTGTGTACTGTCCCCAACGCAGAATCACCCACTGTGAGAAACTAACTGTCGCCAAATTATCCCACATAGCCTCCCGCAAAAGCAAGGGAATGTGAACGAACGATCAAATGTTATTTAGTCACACACACACACACACACACACACACACACACACACACACAGTCTCTCTCTCTCTCTCTCTCTCTCTCTCTCTCTCTCTCAATCTCTCCAGCGTCCTTCTCTCAATGGAAGTGGTCTCCTCGCTGGGCCCCGGGCTCCCCCTGCAGGAAGTGTGGAGGCGCGGGGAGCCCCGGGTCCGAGGTCAGGGGCCCCGGTACGCGGTCCCCACTCTCACCCGGGGTGGGGAGTCGGGGGGTTAGCAGGCCGCAGCAGACTCACCGTACGATGCCGAACATGACCAGCACGTTGCCCAGCAGCCCCACAGCGCACACGGCCGAGTAGAGCGCGGTGATGGCGATGGCCAGGGCGAGGGACGAGGCGCTCCGGGTGGCCGGCGGCCCCGACGCATTGGCGCTGGGGAAGGCGCTGGGGAAGGCATCCGAAGCGTTGGCGAGGAGCAGGGGCTGCAGCACGGCGTCGGCGGAGGGGGCCGGCTCCATGGCGGCCGGGCAGCGGATGCCGCGTCCCTCCCCGCCGTGCGCCCTGGGCGCAGAGAACCGGTGCGAGCGACGCGCGAGGGCTAGGGCTGCGCGGCCCCGACGCCACGGACTGCAGTGCCCCGGGCGCGTGGTCGGCCCGAGTCCCCTCCGCGCGCCTGGCCGCCGGCCCCCCCCCCCCCCACCGGCGCCCGGCTGCTCTCCTCGCCCCGAGCGCTCTGAGCCCGAGCCGCTGCGGGATCCTTGGACGCGCCCGCCGCGCGCACCACGTGGCCCGGAGGCGGCCGCCAGTCTGCGCCCGCGACCGGGGGCGGACGCTGCACCACCGGCTTGGAGCTGGGCCGGAGAAGCTTCCCACTCCTCCCTAGGTATGCTCCGCGGGCTCGGGGGCACCCCGACCCCCGCTGGGGGTCACCTCCTCACCCCTTGCCGCTTTGGAGTCTGGAGGACCTGGATGTGAATCCCAGGTCTCACTCCTACTCTAACGAACAGAGAGTGACCTTGAGCAAGTCAATTAATCTCTCTCAAGCTCATTTTCCTCCACTGTAAAATGCGGATCATCGCACCACCACACTCAAAAAGTTGTGGAGATTAAGATGACCCTAGTAAAAAACTCAGCTCGGCGCCAGGCACACAGTAGGTACTCTGTAAATGATTTTCCTGCACCCTATTCATTTGTTCAACAGATATTTTGGGATGTTGAATATAAGAGCTGGGTACTATTGGGGATCCATTCATTAGCACACAAACCGAGATAGGGAGCCTACCTCCTGGGGTTTACAGCTAGTCCTGAGATCACACTACAGAAGACAAAAGGAAGGAAAGCAAGGCAAGGCATTCCTGGGGGGGGGGGGGGGGGCAACAAAACTCAGAGGTCAGCATGTGAAGTCTGGAGAGGAACTAGGTTTGTGAAGAAATAAGTAAAGGGCATTCTAGACAATGGAACCACATGTGCAAAGACCCTGTGGTCAGAAGAACAAAGAGGAGACCTAAGAATCACTCCAGCTGCTATAGGAGCACAGGGAAAAGGGGGGCACCTCCCACACCCCTGCCCTAACCTGACCAGCCGAGGCCCAGAGCCATCCTCCTTTTTGGGTTCCTATCCTTCCCAGAACATTCTCTCTACTAACCATTACTGTGTTCCAGGCACTCTCTCTACCAACCATTACTCTGTTCCAGGCACCGTGATAAGCACTTTACTCATGCATCAACACTTCGGAGTAGATTCTATTATTAATGTCCCCATTTTACAGATGAGAAGTCTAGGCTAGGTACTATTTTATCCCCTATGATAATTATTTCTATCTGAGCTTGTTTCCTCCTTGGGAAGACTAGACCTGATCTATCCCTACACCCAGTAGAGGTCTAGGGTCACAGTGGGTACTCAGGAAATACTGGTTAAATGAATAAAAGTCCCAAGGGGGAATGGAATGGGACAACACTGGGGTTCCCAAGCTCCAGACTCTTGGGAGATGCTCTTTGAGTGTTTGGGCAAGGGTCCTTCCCTTCACTCAGACCACTCCCCAGCTTGAGTCATCCACCTATGTGTAAGGCTCTTACCCTTTCCCAAAAAGAATAAAGCCAGAATTCCCAAGTTCACCCTCTTCTTCATTCTCTAGGCCTCTCCCAGCTGCTGTCTGAGCCCCTCCAACAGCTACAGCAGACTCTGACCCCAAGGCTTTCCCACTCAACCACCTAAGGACTCTTCAGATTGGCCATTTTTTTAAGGTTACTTTATTCTTTTTTTAAGTAAGCTCTACATCAACATGGGGCTTGAACTCATGACCCCAAGATCAAGAGTCGCATGCTCCACCAACTGAGCCACCCAGGTGCCCCAAGATAGACAATTTTGCTCGGTGGTCACAAGGGCTGCCAAAACAGTCCCTTGTCCCAAAGGGCCGGGTACTCTGGTGCCAAGGGGGAGAAATTGGGACAAAGAGGGCTACTTTTTTAGAGTTGTGTCCTCCTCCCTACCTTTCCAACAAGCCAAGTTTTTTCCTACCTCAGGACTTTTGCACACTCTATTTCTTCTATTCAGAAGGCTCAGCCAATTCTCCAGGCTAAATGCTATCCATCCTTTAAGTTTCAGCTTAAATATTACTTCCTCCACGAAACCTTCACTGACTGCCCCCCCAACTAGAGTAGGTGCTCTTGATATTTTGTTATCATGGCATCATGTACCTCTTCTTTACAGAATTTCCACATATTTAATCAACTTTACAACAGGTCTTGTGCATCTCTGTACCCTCACCTTAGTACAGTTCCTAGAGTTTGATAAGTAACTGAATAAGAAGTTCAAGTCCAACTTTGGTGAGCAGCCATTTTGATGAGGAAGACAGATATTGCTTAACAAAGGACTTGGGAATCCTTTTAAGCAACTACCACCCTTTGTATAAATTCTGCAACTGCATCTTACTTGGAACTGAAATGCTAGTTGCCAGCTCCACCCCTCTCCCCTTGGCTTTGGGCTATCACCAAGCAAGCCTACCCAATTCCTTGCCATTGCCCTCAGGGCCCTCCCAAGTCTGGTCCCAATCAGGGCGTCCAGCTTCCCTCTTCTAACTCCATCCCCATACCCACCCTAATCGTGTGCTCCAGCCATACTGGGCTGAAGGGAGTTTTTAAAAACTGCATCCCACGTTTGTTTAATTCCTCCCCGGAATAGAAATGATATGGTGCAAAGCCACAGCTATGGTGGAGGCAAAAGACAAAAAAAGAGTCCCTTTGGGGCGCTTGGGTGGCACGGTTGGTTGAGTATCCAACTCTTGGGTTTGGCTCAGGTCATGATCTCAGGGTCCTGAGACTGAGCCCCTTGTCAGGCTCCGCACTCAGCGAGACGTCTGCTTGGGATTCTCTCTCTCTCTCTCTCTCTCTCTCCCCCTCTGCCCCTCCCCTGCTCCCTTTCATGCTCCCTCTCTCTAAAAAAAAAAGAGTCCCCTTAACCTTTCTGAGCCTTAGTTTTCTCATCTATAAAGCAGAGGTACAGGACTGGGGTGAGGGTTTGGTGAAGCAGCAGGTGCTCTGCCAACCAAGAAAGGCTACGTGAGTATGAGTTACCACATGGGGATGAGTAAGACCGTGGCTCTCCTAAAGCAGCTCACAATCAAGAAGCTGGTAAAGATATGTAAATGACCAAGTGCATGAGCCACATGCTTTCCTAGGAAAACACACGTGCTGCTATGGTCTGCCCCTTTTAAGAGTTTGCCTGCTATCTCTTCTTTCTCCTGGGAGAACACAAGTCAGCAGTCTGCAACCCAGGAGAAGGTACTCACCAGGACCCAACCATGCCGACACCGTCATCTTTGACTTCCAGCCTCTGGAACTATGAGATAGAAATTCCTGTTGCTCATAAGCCCCTGTGTCTAGGGTGCTTTGTCAGAGCCCCCCAAACTGATTAAGATGCATGCCAGGTGCCCATGAATTGCCCCCGCTGAGGACATTGAAAGAACGTATGGAAACTTGAAAGCCATCTAACGGGCTGTCCCCAGTGGCGTCCCAAAGTGAGTAGTTTAAAGAAATCAACTCTGACTTAAATGTGAGCATTCTAGTCTATCTTTAACAAGCAGTCTCATTTCCGTGGCCACACTCATAAATAATCCTGTGGCTACCATTTGTAGAGAGTTTGCTATGTGCCAGGCCCTGGGCCAAGTGCTTTGAGGAGTATCTTATTTAATCTTCAACAGCCCTCAGGCGTGAGTTTCTACCCTTAGTATTCCATTTTCCAGAGACTAGGTTAGCTGCCCCAGCCCAAGCTGGGATGCCAAGCCAGGTCTGTGTGACTCCAAAAGCCAGTCCCCTGACTACCACCCTCGCTGCCTCTCAGAGCAAAAACTAGACAGTCACCACTCCCCCACCCCAAACACAAGAACCCATCACTCCTGTCTCCGCTCAGCAGAACTTCCCCACTGCAGGGTGATGAGTCACTGGGAGCTCAGGAGACTCTTGAATCTGACCCTGCTCTTGAAGCAGAGTAGACACAGCCCTCCAGCCTGGGTCACCAAAGGGTTCGGCTCTGCTTCAGGCTTGTTCCCATCCTTGACTTCAAGGGAAAAACAAAAAAACAAAAAACAAAACTGGATGGGAAATCCAAGGCCAATCTAGGGTATCAGCAGGCGTCAGCAGTGGAGAAACAGAAATCACTGAAGGAGTCAGAGCAGGAAGGAACTCCCTGGGGAAGCTATTAACAATTTAGTATGTGGGAATGTGGCTCCCACCTGCCAAAGAGACAGATCTGCCTGATGGAAAATACTGTGAGTGAGTGAGCGAGCGAGCGAGCGGGCAGCTCCCCTGGGCTGCCTCTCAGTCTAGCTTCATCTGCAAGCCCCAGGAGGGCGATGACCTTAACCATAACCATAAAATAATAACCACTTGCATTTGCAAAGCACTTCTGACTTCCCAAAGCACTTCCAGATTGATGACTTCACCTTATCTTGACACTATCCAATTACAAGATGAGGTCAGGTTTCATTATCTTCCATTTCTAGCTAGGAAGACAGACTTCTAGAGAGCCTGGGTGAGATGCCCAAGGATACAGAGCAGATCAGTGAAGGAAACAGGGTTGGCACTATCCACCTAGTTGCCCAAGCCAGAAGTCTGTGAATCCTTGACTCCTGTCTCTCCTCCCCTCGTAACCACACCTCTAAGCAATCACCAAGTCCTGTCCATTCTTCCCAGATAACCCACGGCTGCCATCGTTCTTCATCCCTACTAGCACCTTCCCAGTCTGACATGCCACCATTTCTTGCTGAAACTACCAAAATCGCTCCTGAAATGGCCTCCCTGTATCCAGGCAGTACCATGGCCACAGGCGCTCCATGCCTTCACCTCTCTCTCTCACCAGCCCCTTGTACCACCTTCCTCTTCCCATGCCATCCTTCAGCCAAAATAAGCAGCTGGTGGTTCCCCCACATAACCTGCTTCTCCCACCTCCAGGTTCATCTATGTGGTTAAGCAGAAGGGGCTGGTCTGGGGTCAGACTGGTTGAAATCCCAGCTTAGCCACTT